CTGCAGCTGTGTGGTGGGATAAACTGGTCGTCCAACGACAACGCCAACGAAAGGCCCCCATCCGATCGTGGAGACGGATGAAACAGCTGATGATGGAGCGTTTCCTTCCGGAGGATTACGAGCAAATTCTGTACAAGATGTACCTCGATTGCGTGCAAGGAAGAAGAAGTGTTACTGAATACACCACTGAATTCTTGCGTTTTGCTGAACGCAATGAGTTGGGAGAGACGGAAGGACAAAAGGTCGCTCGCTATATTAACGGGTTGAAAGGGTCAATACAAGAAAAAATGGGGTTACAGACCGTATGGACAGTGGCTGAAGCTTCTACCTTGGCCATGAAAGCTGAACTAATGGAGAAGTCCCCTAAACACTTTTCTCCGTTTCGACGGTTCCCTCTGCAAGGCACAAGTGAAACGATAGGTGACAAGGACAAGGCGGCCACCACTAGTGAGCCAACTCCGCCTGTAAAAGGCAGTGGTGGTGCGGGAAGTTCTGCCCCAAATAGAGGACCGCCACCACGAGCTACAAACCCATATGCAAAGCCAACTGGTGACAAGTGTTTTCGATGCGGCGGGCAAGGACATAGATCCAGTGTTTGCCCTTCTCGGAAGACAGCCGCAGTGCTTCAGGATGAACGCGACCAGGAAGAGGAAGATAATGAATATGCCGATGTTGAGTTTGCTGAAGAAGAATCGGGGGATGCGGTCAACATTGTTCTGCAACGGGTCTTGTTGTCGACAATAGATGAAGGACAAAGGAAGAATCTATTTAGGACCCATTGTTCTATTTACAACAAGGTTTGTAATCTCATTGTTGACAACGGCAGTACAGAGAATTTAGTCTCACAAAAGCTTGTGTCATATCTTGAGTTGCCAACAGAGCCTCACGCTAAACCTTATGCTTTGGGATGGGTGAGAAAGGGGCCACAAGTTATGGTCACGAAAACTTGCAAAGTTCCAATCTCTATTGGGAAGCACTATAAAGAAGAGGTGGTGTGTGATGTGCTAAACATGGATGTGTGCCACGTCCTCCTCGGGCGTCCTTGGCAGTATGACAATGACATCACGTATCGCGGAAAGGATAATGTGATGATGTTCACGTGGGACGGGCACAAGATCGCCATGGCACCGGTTTCAAGCTTCACGAAACCGCCCGGGAAAAACAAATCAAGCTTCCTCATAATGACAAGGGATGAACAAGAGTTGCGGGACGCATTCCAGGAGTCCGGGTTGATCTGCCCAGTGGTGGTCAAGGGATTAATAAGTGCCGCAACAACTGAACCCACCACTCCAGTTGAGGTCCACGACATTTTGAAGGACTTTAAAGAGTTGATATCGGACGAGCTGCCTAGCGCATTGCCTCCCATGCGCGATATCCAACACCAGATCGATCTGATCCCGGGATCCAGTTTACCCAACCTACCTCATTACCGCATGAGCCCGAGAGAAAACGAGATATTGCGCGAACAAATCAAGGACCTCCTAAGGAAGGGTTTCATTCGAGAGAGTATGAGTCCGTGCGCAGTCCCGGTACTACTTGTTCCGAAGAAAGGGAATCAATGGCGTATGTGTGTAGACAGCAGAGTTATCAACAAAATCACCATCAAATATCGGTTTCCAATTCCACGCCTTGAAGATATGCTTGATGAACTGGCTGGTTCGAAGGTGTTCTCCAAGATTGATTTACGCAGCGGGTACCATCAGATTCGAATTCGACCGGGCGATGAATGGAAAACGGCATTCAAAAGTAAAGATGGTCTCTATGAATGGTTGGTTATGCCGTTCGGCTTGTCCAATGCCCCGAGCACTTTCATGCGGCTGATGAACCAGGTTCTTCGCCCTTTTATTGGCTCTTTTGTGGTGGTTTATTTTGATGATATACTAATTTACAGCAAATCTAAGTCCGATCATTTAGTCCACATTCGACGGGTGCTCCAAGCCTTGCAGGAGAATGAGTTATATATTAACCTAAAGAAGTGCACTTTCTGCACAAACAAGCTTTTGTTTTTGGGTTTTGTGGTGGGTGACGAAGGAATACAGGTGGATGAGGAAAAGGTACGGGCTATTCGGGATTGGCCCACGCCAACAACAGTGACCGAGATCAGGAGCTTTCATGGCTTGGCTACCTTTTATCGCCGATTTGTTCGTGACTTCAGCTCCATCACTGCACCCATTACCGAGTGTTTGAAGAAAGGAAAGTTCCACTGGGGCCCAGCCCAGGAGAGCAGTTTCGAGTTGATAAAGGAGAAGCTATGCACTGCACCCGTCCTCGCCCTCCCGGATTTCGATAAAATCTTTCAAGTTGAGTGTGACGCTAGCGGCGTTGGGGTGGGTGCCGTCCTCTCTCAAGAAAAACGACCTGTTGCTTTCTTTAGCGAGAAATTGAGTGACGCCCGCTAGAAGTGGAGCACTTATGATCAAGAGTTTTATGTTGTATTTCGCGCCCTCCGACAGTGGGAGCATTACTTGATCCAGCGGGAGTTCATTCTCTTTACTGACCATCTTGCACTAAAATTTCTCCATAGCCAGAAGATCATCAATAAGATGCACGCTCGATGGGTGAGCTACTTGCAGAAGTTCCCTTTCATCATCCAACACAAGTCGGGTGCCCAGAATAAGGTGGCGGATGCACTAAGCCGTCGAGCTTCCTCGCTGGTTACGTTGGCCCAAGAGATAGTGGGTTTTGAATTCCTCAAAGATTTATACGCCACTGACCTTGAGTTCAAAGAAGTATGGTTCACCTGCACGCAACAACACCCACGCGATGACTTTCATGTTCGCGAGGGGTACCTCTTTAAGGGGGATCGTCTCTGTGTCCCTAGTTCGTCCTTGCGTGAAAAGCTTATCAGGGACTTACATGGCGGCGGTCTCGCGGGCCATTTAGGTCGAGATAAAACCGTGGCTAGCTTGGAGGAACGGTTCTTTTGGCCCCATCTTCGACGCGACGTCGGCAACATTGTCAAGCGTTGCTACGTGTGCCAGGTCTCCAAGGGCCAGTCGCAGAACACTGGCCTCTATTTGCCTCTCCCGGTCCCTGATGACATCTGGTTGGATCTCTCGATGGACTTCGTGCTGGGCTTACCCCGTACCCAACGTGGAGTGGATTCCGTTTTTGTGGTCGGCGATCGTTTCTCAAAGATGACTCACTTCATCGCTTGAAAAAAGACCGCCGATGCATCCAACATCGCCAAGTTGTTCTTCAAGGAGATCGTGCGCTTGCACGGCGTCCCGAAATCCATTACATCTGATCGCGACACCAAATTTCTTAGCCATTTCTGGATTACTCTTTGGCGGATGTTTGGTACTACCTTGAACCGGAGTTCCACAGCTCACCCCCAAACAGATGGGCAAACCGAGGTCACCAATCGTACACTGGGCAACATGATTAGAAGTGTGTGTGGCGACAAGCCGAAGCAATGGGATTTGGCTCTGCCCCAAGTTGAGTTTGCGTACAATAGTGCAGTCCACTCGGCTACTGGTAAAACACCCTTCTCTCTTGTTTATACTTCCCCTCCGCGGCATGTCGTTGATCTGGTCACCCTTCCCAACACTCCGGGCGTCAGCCAGGCTGCCGAAAACATGGCGAGGGATGTGCAAGCTGTGAAGGCTGCTGTTAAGGCCAAGCTTGTGGCCAACGGTCAGAAGAACAAGGCTGCTGCCGATGCACATCGCCGGGTGAAGGTATTCGCTGAAGGAGACTCTGTTATGGTGTTCCTCCGGAAGGAGAGGTTTCCCGTGGGCACCTATTCTAAGTTGCAGCCCCGCAAGTACGGTCCTTTCACCGTGGTCAAGCGAATCAATGATAATGCTTACGTTATCGACTTACCGGCTTCTATGAATATTTCCAACACCTTTAACGTTGCCGATATCTCTGAGTTTCATGAAGATTCTGTCATTTATCCTGATACGAACTCGGGGTCGAGTTCTTTACAGGTGGGGGAGACTGATGTAGCGTCGCTGGAGAACAAACTAAAGGAAGCTGTCCGAGTCGAGGAGGAGCAGGAGCTGGCGGGAGTCGACTAGGCCCGCATGGCGTGCATGGCCATGGCCCTTGTTATTTTTAATTGTTCTTGTTTTAATTATTTTAGTTCTCCTAGACAATAGCGGAAAGGGATAGCTGGGCTATAGTATTTAAGCCCTTGTTTACACGTTGAGAACACATCTTTTGCTTGAATTAAAACTTAACCCTAGTGGGAGTTTCTCTGGTGGATTTCCATAACCTTATTCAAGCTTGCGTTTGGCAAGCTTTGTGTGTGTTTGGTTTTGCGATTGCAAGCCAATTGTGATTTCTGTCTGCGTCAGAAAGGGGATGTTGTAGTAGTCTAATGCTCCATGCAGGCAAAACTAAGAGGGTTTAGGGACTGAGATAAGAGAGAGTGAACTCTTCTTAGATTTTTAGGCCGATCGGGTTTGGAGAGATAAGGGAACAACATGAGAACTGCGGTTTATCCACCTTAATCTACCAATCGAGAGCTGCGGATGGCAAGATCGCAATGGATTAGTGAAACGATAAAAGGTTAGGGATTTTGCCTGAGACCAAAACAGGCGCTTCATCTACCACACCTGAGACAATTGGTATAACCAAAATCTCTCTTGGACCTGACAACAGCTGACACAGAAAGGCTAGCTTGTACAGCTCATGTCGAAGAACTAAAGCGACCGCCGGATTGGGGATTCCCTGTACTATTTTGACAAAATCGATGGCTGAAGGGGGAGATTCTAGCTCCTGGTTGACCAGTAACGTTCGAGTTTTTTCTAAGGGGATGTGGCGACTGGGGATCTAAAGTCGATGGCCGCTAGATCTAGGGGTGGCAGTCGGTCAGTTTCGGTTTAACCGAAAACCAATTTCTCGGTTATCGGTTAAACCGAGCCCTCCCTTATGTCTGCCGACGAACGACCGTGAAAGGAGTCACGGTTAGCCGACCACCGACCGACCTTTTTTAGGTTCTGGGTCGGTTTAACCGTGGCAACCGCAACAAATCATTCCTCCTCCCCTTTTCCCGTCTCCTTCTACCCTTTCTCGATCCTTCTACCCTTTCCTCTATCCTTCCCCTATTCCCATCTCCTTCTACTCTTTCAAGTTTCCTCTCCCCAAAAAATCATTCCTCCTCCCTCTCCATTCACAAGATCTGTTTCTCTACCCTCACAACTGCCATCAATCTGAACGGCGGGGAAGGGAGGTTCGTGGTGCTGCTGTCATCGGGGTTTGTCGTTCTGCCCTACGGCCACGGCAGGGTGGTGCAGAATGATGTTGGCGGCGAGGAAGGACAGGCCGCTGCCGGGGTGGATGAGGGAGTGGTGATGAGCGGATGCGTTGTGACGATTGGGTTCCAGATCTTGGTGAACAACTTGTCGGTGGGGAAGCTGGCGGCGCATTCGATGGATACGGTGAACAACCTGCCGTTGTGCACCATCCAGAGGATCAAGGACTCCCTCCATCTTCCCATCACTTTGTCAAAGGAGGCCTCTGTTTTCTTCGCAGCTCCATCGATGAGAGACGAGGGATCTGAGTTTGATCTCATGGCGTGATTCCACCGGCACACCCATTAGTCTTTGAGCGCCACCACCGCGCCTATGCTGACCGTCACCATCTAGGCTTTGCTTGCCGCTGCTGCTGAACTAATATTTAGGGGTGGAAATCGGAGGTGAGGCCCGGCGCGAGATCGGGGAGATGGGGGAGGGTCTTAGAATTAGGTTCTTTGATTTGGGGGTTAAGGATTTTCTGCAATTTTGGGATGGGGAGAAGGGGATTTTCGATAAGGGTCGATTATCCGGTTAGCCGTGATTAATCATTCCCGGTTATTCGTCTAGCCGGAGCCCTCTGATGGGCGTCCGAACACCGACCGAAGTCGGTTTTTGCCAGTTTTCGGTTAGTCGGTTTTTGCCGGTTTTCGGTTACAACCGGCGGCTAACCGCTAACCGGCAACCGCTTTGCCATCCCTAGCTCGATCTGAATCGGGGGGAGATAAAAGGATCAGAGGATTGAGAAAGAGAAGGACAAAGTACCCTCTTACCTCTGATGAAGAAGACGAAGGAGATGAGATGAATGAGGATAAAACGGCAGATGACGTGCTTTGTAAATTGTAATCGCAAGTGCAATGGAGTTGTAGATAATGTTAAAGTTTGGGTGTTCTAAATTTAAGATTTGGAGAATAGTGTAGTATGATTTATATAATTACTAATTAAATGATTAATTTGAGTGTAATGTAGGATAAAAATTGATATGGGACTAAAATGTACAATAATTAATGAATGTGTGTAATTGTAATTATATTTATTATTAGTAATTAAATCAATTATAATTAAATTAAATAATTTATAAGTGTGAACACATGCGCACGCTATATGTTTTTGTTAGGTGAATACTTCCACTGACTGTAAAATAATTGTATAAGTTGCATGTATTTATGTTAAGGTTAACTATAACTATGTGTCGATTTATATTTTGTATTCATTTTATAAACTGCGAATCATTGCATTAACCAAAAGAATTTCTCACTTAATGAGAATGTGATGCTATATCGGTTAATCTGGTTAACCAATTAACCTAACCATTTAAACTTTAGTTTGGTTAATTTGATTCTTGTATTAGTTTGGACTGGTTGCGATATTCTATTCCATGGTCAATAGAATTTAGTTTTATTTGGTTTGGTAATTACCATGGTATCCATTTGAACACCTCAATTGGTCTCTACGGTGGAAAGCAGCATCGGTAGAAACTTCTCGAGGCGGAGGGACGAACAGGGGCAGAGCAGCGGAGAGGGGAGAGGCGGAGTCGAAAAGGGGGAGTCAGAGTCGCGGAGAGGCAGAGGCGGAGGCGGAGGCTGAGTCAGAGGTCGGAGGATGGATTCAGAGAGGCCAGAGGGACGTCGAGAAAAAAAATGACGATTAGGTTACGGTCTCATTTCGAATCTACCTCACCTTTGACAAACTGGAAATGCCTTGTTTCAATTCCCTTCCCTCGGCGGTATCCAGTTTAAAAAAAAATTCGGTTTTTGCCCACCATTCTTATACTGTTTAAGACTCGATTCTCGTGTTTTAAGGCAATTTCACGCTAGGTTGTTCTTGCATGATGTATTTCAGGTCTTGGAGCAGCTATGTAGGCTTGTGAGCGAGTTTCGGGTCAAAATCACAAAGTAGACGAAAGGAGGAATTCGTGGACCAAAATCCCCGGTCATCCATCAAATACCTGAGAGGGGAAATGCCATCAGAGATCAGGGAACTCGTCCAGGGATTTTCCCCGGTCTGGACCCCTTAATCCCCGATTCGGAAATCCAACCTGAGACCGGGTTTTGCTGCCTCGACAACTTACTGTTGCGCACCATTTTGAGAGAATCCCACCTGTAGCTGAAATCTTTGAGTGTGATTGGTGTGATGGAAAAGATCACAACAATATAGAATACCGCAAATTTGGTTGATCTCGCAAAGAAAAGGTTGACTACGTGGGACATGGGTACCCACAAAATCGTCAAGGAGGGTTCTTCAACAACAACTATCATCCACCTATTGCATTTATTCGTCCAAACTTTGGGGAAAATCTTGCACTACAACCATATCCGAATCAACGGCCCCAGCCCACTTACTACAATCCCAACATGGATTTTGATAGAAGGCCACAAAATCAAGGCCCACTAGGCTATCAAGCATTACCTCAATATCAGGGTCAAACTAGTGGAGCCTCTAACAACCAAACTGAAGATATAAGCAAAGTTGATAGGCTCGAGAAGCTCACGTTGGGACAACAAGCATCCATATCCAACATTGAATTCAAAATGACCAATCTGGCCAAGATGTTGAGTGAAAGACCCCCTGACACTCTTCCAATCAACATAGAGAATAATCCCAAGGAGCAGCTGAAGGTCATAAACCTTCGAAGTGGGAAGGAAACCGAGCCCCTGCCCATCAAGATCACCAAATCAAGTACACCTACTCCAAAGAAGTCATCCAAAAATGTCATAATGGAAGCCGACCTGCATAACGAGAAGACCAAGCTAAATCCCTCATTTGAGCCAACTCTGCCGCCATACCAACCAAAAGCTCATTATCCTGCCACATTGAACATGGAGCTTAGAGATGCAGCTTACCAAAAGATTCTGGATCTTTTGGGTAAGGTGCATGTCAACATTCCCTTCATTGAAGTCATTTCCAAAATGCCTCAATATGCCAAATTTTTGAACGAGATTCTCACACACAAGAGGAAGTTGGGAGATGTTGCTTCGATTGTCCTGAATGAAGAATGCTCTGTCGTAATCCTTAATAAGAGTTTACCAGATAAACATAAAAATCTAGGAAGTTTCACTCTACCATGCATCATCGGTAAACTAGAAGTGGAAAGAAGTTTCGCCGATATTGAGGCAAGCATTAATGTTATAACAACTTGGGCTAGGCGAGCTCACTACGACCAAGATGACTATCCAACTAGCAGACACATCCACACGCCACCCCCGTGGAAGCTTCGAAGATTTGATCGTGAAGGCGATACCATTTGTCTTCCCATAAGATTTTGTGATCATGGATACCGACAGGACTGACATTTCGCTAATCATTGGCAATCCCTTCTTAGCAACGGCCCGGGCTATAGTGTATGTTCATGACGGGAGGCTCACTCTACGAGTTGGAGATGCCAGTGCCACCTTCCGACTAAATGATGGAATGAGATATGCTCATGTTCTTGATGACCTCAACTCAGGTGATGATGAAATTGAAATGGAGTATGCATTCCTTAGCAACAACTCCAAATTGCTAGTCATCATTAACTCATCTCTTTCTCCATTGCAGAAGGAACAAGTAGTGGCTTTATTGAAGAAACACATAAGAGCAATTGCCTGGAATCTCACAGACATCCAAGGGACAAGTCCATTTTTTGCACCCATAAGATTCTTATGGAGGACGAATACAAGCAGTGGTACAACCACAAGGTCGCCTAAATCCAAACATGAGAGAAATGGTAAAGAAGGAAGTCCTAAAGCTTCTTGATGTCGGGATAATCTATCCAATCTCTGAAATCCCTTGGGTCATCCTGGTACAAGTAGTTCTGAAGAAAAGGGGCATGACGGTCGTTCCCAATAACAAAGGGGAACTCATCCCAACCCGAACAATAACTAGTTGGTACATTTGCATCAACTAGTTGGCCACATATGATCTTGGCCATTTAGCAAAAAGTGACGCTAGAAACAATGGTGGGGCGAGAGGTCAGCCATCACCTGTGCCATGTTTGGGTGTAACCGTCACCACTTTGTTTCTCCCCCAGTCACTGGTGGTAGAAATACAATTAATGGTTGAGGCCATGGTGGTTTACACAGAACAAATTGTATATTAACTTGATTGTTTTCATACTCATTTAAATCGACCTTTGGATCAACGGGATGAGATTTGCGAGATAAATGAAAATAATTTTAAGAAGTTTTGCCAACTTTTGATGAAACCAGTGTTGAGAACAAAGGCTTTGGCGAAAGATGGTATAGATCCAGCATCAAGCGTTGCTACTGGGGATACAAGTATTCTAGACTCTGGTGGCCGAACTACTCAGCCACGGGTGGAGAACTCATCATCTCTAGTGACAAGTCAACCACTTATTCAACGTGGTGGTTGTGGCGAGAAACTCGCTCCCACATTCACCACTCATGCAAAGAAACTACCTGTGCATACAGTTACTTTAAAAACCGTCTCAGAGGCCAGACCATGCTTGAACGTGAGAATTTGTGGAGGGTTAATAGCTATGGATCAACTACCACTACAAACTCACCCACCCTCATTTTTACCCTTACTCAATGAGCATGGTGGATGCAAACCGCCATGGGGTAGTAAGGAGGGCATGAAAACCTACCACCTGACAAGTTCACAGCGAAGTGTCAAGCTGGGGGGCACGTTGATGTCAAAGAAGGTGTACAGGGTGTATTCAGGAGAACACCGCGTTCTTGGTCTAAGTGTGGCAAGGAGGGAATATCATCTACCATGAGCAATTGCATAAGGGGCATGTCATCAACCACAAGCAATGGGAAGATAGACGTACCCAAGGAGGCCCAACAATCCCAAACCACACATTCTGGTAGTAAGCATGCTATGACTAAGTGTGACAAGGAGTGCATGTCATCAACCACAAACAATGAATAGATATATGTACCCACGAAGCCACAACAAGCCCAAGCCTTATGTATTTCTAGCAAGAATGTTAGTGTAGCTAAGTGTGGCAAGGGGGCATATCTCCGTCCCCATGTAGTAGAGTAGGGGGGCATGTCACTGATAGTAATGAAACGAGTGGGAGACATGTTATCAACCACTAGCAGTGGACAGATGGACATACCAAGAAATCCCAAAAGCTCCCAACCATACATGATGGTATAGCTAGGTGTGGCAAGGGGAACATGTCAACAACCACAACTAGTGGGTTGATAGGTGTGCCCAATAAGCCACAATATGAAATCACACATGGTTTTAGTAAGCATACTAATATGGCTAAGTTTGGCAAATGACGCACGTCAACATTCATGAACAAGGGTATGAGGGGCATGTCACTGACAGTGAAGAAA